CAGCAGCGCCCGTGCTTTTATTACCTGTCTGCCAAACCCCGTTAAAGTTACTGACCTCGCGATTATTTCCTAAGTTTTGCAATCTTATATTCTTATTGTAGCCTAATTTTCTTAACCTGTCTCTTTTGAATTTGTTGGTTTGATTAGTGCTCATCATGCGGAATCTATGATCTGAATTACATGACCTAACGCGACTTCGGTTATTATCATGGATATTTCCTACTCTATTAATGTTCTGATATCTGTTACCAAAATTACTCCACTGCTCATGTGCTCTGATATTTCTGTTATTTTCTAATTTTTGTAAACGCTCAGCTCTGTTAAAGTTTATTATTTGCCCACTTCCGTTTTGTACACATGACCTCAGTTGACCCTGAATGTCATGGTATGGATTCGGTCTCTGTGGTCTGAAACTCTGCTTATCTATATTGTAGTGTGCTCTCTCGTTATCATATCTTCGCCTACCGGGGAAAAAGGTAAATCGATTAGCATCGACTTTATGTGTAGTAACAGTTACTATTTTATAGCTATTCCTTCCTCTCGGTGCCTCTTCCGTTGAACTATTTACCTCTAGAATATCTCTATCTACGTTAGCTACAATATTTCCTTTTTTCAATTTTACGGTTTTCCCTGTCGCGTTTGTGATAAGGACCGGAAAACAAAGTCTTTTACCTAACGTTACAATGCCATCTGTAGTTGATAAGCATGGTTCGTTTAACAGTGCTTCCTGAAGCGCTGTTGTTCGAATAGTTTGACCTGGCAGGAAATATGGGTTTCTTTTTAAACCCGACATCACTACGTTGATTGAATTAGGTTTTAGGATGACTGTTTGTTTCGCACGTACTACCGAAGCAACGTGAATGTCATCTCTAAGATCTACGTACCTATCTCTAATTCTAAGCTTTTTAAGGTCAAAATATAGCCTTATGCCATGTTTAACTAATATGTCCCGCCCTATAATTAAATGACGGTTCATTGTTTTTACTATGATAAAAGGATGTGTCAGACGTATTCCACCGATGGAAAACGGAATCATGGCTTTACCTAAAACTGATAGGCTGGCTCCGGTGACAGACTGTAAGTTCTCTTTTGTGTGATGTAACTCTATACTACCTCTAATCCTCTTAAATACCGAGTAATTTAGAAGTGACAAATCTGCTCCTGAATCCACCAGACTATTAAACTTATTATTGTTGATTTCTATTAAACAGCAACACGGGCTGCCTGATGCATTAATCTGTCTATGGTTTGTAACTCTCTTCTGCCTATTTATTTCGTTATCTCTCTTGTGTCTTACTGAACTTTTAGAGGCTATGTCTCGTCCGTCGCTCAGCTGTGCCCCGGCCAGCGAGCGGATTGCGCGTTTCCCGAATAATGGTTTCTCCAGCCGCCTTTATTTTGTGTGTTAAGTCCCTGACTTCTGTGACTGACCTGCCACGACCTTTCACCTCTAAAATCTGTGTTAACGAGCGGTCGGTTTATCGGCTGTGTTGTGGGTCGGTTACCTGCCGGGCAAAATCGGACTTTATGGGGACCTGAACAGTTATAACACTTTAAAGTGTGTTGCACTGCCTGTATGTTAGAGTGTCTGTGTCTCTCATTTGTGTGTCTTTCTCTGTGTGGTCTAAAATGTGATATGTCCATGGGTTCCGTCAACCTAATATCTTCTTCTTCTTCTGTTCTTCGTCCAGTTTGAAGGAACACTTTTCGTCTTAAACTCTCTTCTTTAAGAGTTATGGCTACTGCCTGTTCTAGAGTTGTTGGCCCAGAACGCAATAAACGAAGTTTTTGTGAACTGTCCCTTAAACTGTCACAGAAGACTGAAACTAAAATAAGCTGAGTTTGTTGTGATTGTATCTCTTCTTTAAGAAATGCATCTTGCGCGAGACTCTGTATTCTCTGCGAATAATTCTGTATGCTCTCATCTTTGCCCTGTTTGATCTGTCGTAAGAGGAAAAAGGCCATCTGTCTGTCTGTGACATCGCTGAAATTTTGTGCTAAGTCTCTTTTCAGTTCTTCCCATGTTTCTTCTTCATTCTGCTCTAATCTTCTTCTTATGTGTTCTGAAACCGGGGAAGAACTCATCTGGTATGCTAAACGTTTGATGTCGAAACTTGTCGCACCTGAAAGGAAAGCATACTTTTCTATCTCGTTTACCCACTTTTTAAACTTTTTTGTGTCTCCCCTGAAAGGTTCAATAACCCCTGTTATTCCCTGTCTCCGAACGCTACAATCTAATCTGGAGACAGCCTTGCTGACTTCTCCTAAAACTCTGCTGAACTGGGCTTCTACTGTTCCCTGTTCTGCCATTTTAAAAAAATCTGGTAAATTAACTAATGCAAGTAAATTAAAATTGAAAAAACAGAAAATGTCAAATTACCTTGTTGAGTGCGGTCTGAAAAAAAAATTCTCTTTTCACAACACACTGTAATTAAAAATCGGCACTGTCCTGGAATTATTTTCTAAGTTAATAGGAAAGGTAGGGAAAGATAAGAAAAGGTTTTCCCTACACCACTGTAAATTGAAAATCACAATATATTTAAACTAATTAATGTTAATGTTCAAGGTTCTTTAAAATCGCGCTTATTTTGCAGTTCCTATTTGTAAAATCGGACAGCTCACAGTTCTTGACTTTCCTATAGTCTTCCGAGTGTGTAAAGTTAGGAAAAGTTTATATTATGGCTCCAGACTAGAACGGGCGCGTCCCCCTGATTCTAGTGTAGACGGTTTGCTCCAGGCTAGAACGGGCGTGTCCCCCTGATTCTAGTGTAGACGGTTTACTCCAGGCAAGAACGGGCGTGTCCCCCTGATTCTAGTGTGTAGACGGTTGGCTCCAAAAGGTGGTGCAGGCTGTTGGTCTGGTTTACGTCTCTCCAATCTGATGACGGGTTTATCGACTTTTTTGTTTTACTCAGCAGGTACAATCATAAACTTGCTTTTAGTTCACCTTTTTATAGCAGTTGCTTATTTGTTATGTTGTAACAGCAGTCTTGTTTTTTTAAAGATGTCGAGTACACAAGACTGATCGTTGGTCACGGCTCCAAATATCCTCATCGCTTGTGGCACAGTCGTGCCTATACATCCCCCAAGAAATAGATGTGCCTAAGTCGGCCAAGTGAATGAATATAGTTCGTATCTCTCTTCAATCGTACTCATGAACAAGGCCAGTGATGTAACAATTACACAAGAGCTGTTTATTTACAATATTCCAGTCATAGAGGCTTCATAAATTCAATAGTATATGAACACTGTATTATCTGGATACAGGCTATTCGTATGACTCTCTACGAGTTCCTTAACCACTGTTCTAGCTAAACTCCAAGTTTAACATATACCTTCTAAACGAAGTAAATCACTAGTTTTCTCCTAACCTGTCCTATCAAGCGGTTCCGTGGCTAACTGTCCTCTCCAGCGGTTCCGGGGCTAACTTTATTCCCCCGCTTTCCCGCCTTTCTCGCGTACCTTCTCCATCACTTCTCTGTCACCTGTCTTTGGTGGTCACGTTTGGATGAACGTATCTCATCAGCAGGTCACAGTTCACGGGCACTCGTCGAATGTTTCATCCCTCACTGTCAGATGTCATGGCGGTGTGTTCTGCATAGCTGGCTAGGCCATGGCTTTCTAATCACCTATTTCTGTCATTTCACACAGTGATGGATTAGTACGCCGTGTGGTGGTCTGAAATGTATGCTTGTTCATTTAACCCCTTTTCTGCCTGTATTTCATTACACTATTCCATCGATCTATTGCGTGCGAGGCCGACCTCTGCTTCTTCTTCCGTTTTGTCAAAGCGACAGGACCTTCTGAGATGCACTACCTGGTGGCAGTCTTGAAATATGCTGGGCCTTATTGAGAAAGACCTGGCGCTGAAAAGTCCCTTTGTGTTGTTTTGTGTACGTTATTCTGCTCCTCGATTTCGTTAAGCTGTTCAGGCCTTGTTCATTTGAATAATTCCGTGTAGATACCTGCGTGTCTGCGTTTCTGCCCATCCAACTGCTACATAAAAGAATTCGAGAGGGTCACCGTGGCGAAGGGCTCAAGCCATTTGCACCGCTCTCTGAAGGTCGTTGGTTCGCTTCAGGGCTGCGTTGTTCAATTCCTGAGTGCAATTTTAACAAGGATCCATGTGGTTCGTCGCCGAAGTTACGGAGTTCATGCTTTATGCGAAGCTGCCGGCAGACGGCTAGACGTTTTGCGATTAGAGATTGAACCGTATGAGATAAAACCCAGTGCAATGAAGTTGATTCTCTTGACTTTGACCTTTAACTTTTAACCTTAAGGACTGACAACATAAGATTACAAAAACCCACCAAGAACACTTATCAAAGGTAAATACAAGGAATTGTGGAGAAAACAAACTAATAGTAAACATCCACAAGACCCCATTAGCTGACTTAACAGAAAGCAACATACAACAATTTTCCGTCGACGAAAAGGACACTGCAGGCACAACTACCACATGCATAAAGTAAAGATTGTACAGTCCCCACAGTGTGCCTGTCAAACAGGACCACAAACACCTGAGCACAATCTGCAGATCTGCCCACTCTACATACAACTTCGAAAAGACATCTAGCCTCAAAAGCAAAGTGTCAGAGCAAGCTATGGGGAACCATGAAGGACCCACTAATGACATGCGAGTTCATTGAGGCAACCCACCTGATGGTCTGATTTGAGCATACGAAACCGAACGCAAAGAAGAAGAAGATATACCTGTCCCACTGGAAAGAAGTTATAAATTCGGACACCTGTTGCAGACACACCCATCTGGTGTTACCTCCAGTCCTTTGTGGGGAATTAGGTTTGGCTAGTTAGTATTTGAATTATGAATTATGAGTTGGATTATCTTTTTTTATGGCACTCCGGACACGTCCATAGGTGCTCAGATTCCGCCTTCAACATATGCACCAGCGCCCAGCGGTTAGTTAGTTTACTTGTCCTCAGAAATTGTGTCTTATAGTTTGTATTTATGTGTTTAAATATGTTCTCTGTTTTGGTAGGATGTGAGAATACACTATGTGGCAAGTGGGCCCGAAGATAAACCTTTGATGCTTTTTCTACACGGATTTCCTGAGTTTTGGTACTCCTGGAGAAATCAGATTCGGGAATTTCAGAAGGATTACAGGTATCTGTGAGCTTGTTAATCGGTGGTACATCTTGTGAACTACTTGAAAATGCTTTGTTCTTCGGGCGGTGAATATGGCTGAAAGCGGTGTTTCGCCGCTTTTTATGGTTTTTTTTTTTTTTTTTTTGTTTTTATTTTTTATTTTTACAGCTGTTGCAAACCTGAAACACGCAGAATTGTGTTGCGGCCCACCTGACAGCAAACCAAAGATATCAACAAAATTTGAATGTTTGTTTATTCAATCCGATGTCACAAAATCACAATTTTTAGCTAATGCAACATCTGCTGCTGTTTAGAGCCTTAAACCCTAGCGAAATCGTTTCACCGCGCGGTCCTAGAGCTTTAACATGGTTCGATCCTCGCCGTGGGTGGTTTAGAAAAAAGACCGTTCTTGTGGATGTTAGATGCACATCCTTACTGGCACAAGGCTGGAGGTTACGCCTGGCAGGTTTTGTCGTTAGAGGTGCCATACTTATAACTTCTTTAGAGGGTAAACTGGGTGTCTGGTATCTGTCCTTTTAGTCTGTCATCCAGATTAAGATTTATTTATCTCAGGGTGGTGAACTTTCAAGTAGATTCCCTGAGGGGACAACCACATCGATTGGCTTTCAGGCAGTGGCCCAAGAGACACACAGTGGAAAAGACTAGGGGTCTCACCAGTAGATATTCCCGTAGATATAGTGCGTTTCAACGGTAGTGCTCTTACACTTTAATAAATATCTCGAAAACGCATGTACGGATCACAGCCCATTTTTTAGCATGTGGCCTTAGATTTCCTATGTCCTTATGATTTTATCATTTACAATTACACAGGTGCTGCTATTTTCTTAAAGCGTTTACCCTTTAAAAAAATAGAATATACACTAATTGATACACGAGTGGAAATTGCAATTAAGTTCATGTGTACAACAATGCTTGATGATTATTTTTATAACATATCCCATATAAAATGATAACTCTGCAACTCACGGAAATTAATTAATAAGATAACTACCTGACTGAGAGAAGCATATGACAAACCTGCAAAGTGTTGTTTTGAAAAGTTCCTGTTATTCAGTTAATTGTAAGCATGTCGACTGTTTGCTTTAAATTGATGTTTTTTTTCCTTCACATACCTCAAAGAAAACAAAATAAAAACTAGATGTTTATTTACATTAAAAAAAAATATTAAAAAAAACTAACAGTTATTAAGTTACAGATTTTTTAAAGCTGGGCAGAACTTTTGGAACGGACTAGCAGTTGGTACAGTGCAGTGGGCCTCCATGCTTTAAGGTCCGGTCATGTTTTTGTCATGATCTTCACATACTAATACAGTTAAAAGATCAGTGATTGTTAGGCTTATTGTAAAGTGCACTGATGTCAGAGTCTGCGGCATAGATGCTGTGAAGGCAGATTAACAATCCCGACATACCGCGATTCTAAGTTAACGGCGGAGGATTAGGTAATAGAACGGTTATTGTTTATTTTGACAATGAGACGAGCGGTACAGACAAACCTGTAAGGAGTCAGAATCATTGAATATCAGAAATTATTTTGAAGTGGGAAGGACAACGGGAACACAAATGAAACACTATAGTCAAACAAGATGCATGGGGCGAGTACAATTTTCGAAATACTAGATTAAAATATTTTTGTTCCCACATAATACAGAGGAAAATCTCTCTCTCTCTCTCTCTCTCTCTCTCTCTCTCTCTCTCTCTCTCTCTCTCTCTCTCTCTCTCTCTCTCTCTCTCTCTCTCTCTCTCTCTCTATTTTGTTCCCACATAATACAGAGAAAAATCTCTCTCTCTCTCACACACACACACACACACACACACACACACACACACACACATTGAAAGAGTTGCCATAATGCTATCAAGATGAAACCATAAATAGAATACAAAGCAGTAGGTTCCGAAAAAGAAAAGCAACGAGAACTAGAAAGCTACTAAAAAAATAAAAAATTTTGAGCTAAAAACAGAAGACACCCGTTTTTAAATCACGTCCATTAGTGATTTGACTGGTCGTACTGAACTTTGCTTTCTGTTGTTGAAGCAATGTACACTCTTGTTAAAGGACACATCATATTTAATTAAAACAGGAAAACTCAAATTTATAAGCCATGAAAACTTACCCATCTATATTGAGTTTTTAACGGACATGTTTTTCTGACTAACTAGGTCGTGCAGGTGTTTGATAACGTTGTATGAAATCGGTGCAGAACCAATACTGAACTTTATTTGGGAGATGATAGATCAAATGGTTTTGCCATGTAACAACATTTGCATCAAACAACGTACCACAGAGAGCAATGTTATACAGATCCAGGTGCAGAAATGGACCACGCATAATATGGAATGTAGAAACATCCGAGATAGTGAAAAGTATTATATGGAAGCGAACAGAATGGCCCGTTCCAGAGATATCTTCTTACCCTGGCGCCACGAGGCATTGCAGAATTGAAGGGAGAAAAAAATAAGAATGAGACCCTGAGGTTTAAAACATGTTTTTGAAAAACAACTTGCTTAAAGACAGATGTTACGGCAAAACATGCATACCAACCAGTTTTTGTCCCTGTGTAAGTTCTCAGGCTCCATTTTGGTTGAAAGAGGGGCGGGAGGTCTCCTTTTCCTAACAAACATGTCGTAAAAGGCGAATAATTAAGAGTGATTCTTTCGAAGCCGAAATGGGTCTGTCTGAGAAACACGAGGATCCAACAGTTAGAAAAACGGATATGCGATTGAAACTCAAATTTTGGAACAAGACCGTTGTCCACAACTTGGCCAATAACTATAGTAGGTTTAAAAAGTTGTACACTCACACTTTAAAAAATAACTAGAAAACTCATATACGGATCAACACGAATTTTTTCGCCCCAGATTTCCCGTGTCCTTATGATTTTGTAATGCACTGGGGCTGTTGTTTTCATAAAGCGGCGAATTTCTTTGATGTTTGTTTGACTAATAATGTGTATACTAAAAATAGATTATGCCGTAAATGACACAGACGTGGAGATTGTTTGGAAATCGGTTCACATGTGAGGTGAGGCGTTGTTATTTATTGATAAATAAGCTGTGTCTATCCAGCATACAATGAAAAATTGTGTTCTTCTAACCCAAGGGATGTGGTCACCTAAAAGTGAAAAGACTATGAAACGCATGCAATTTGATCGTGTCTGTTTTTTTTTTTTTTTTTACACTGCAAATCAGGCAACTTGAAAACTAGATGTTTGTTTCCACTAAAAGAACTCTCACCAGGACAGGATTATTGCACACCACATTTCATCAACTGACACTGAACAGTTACCGAGTAATAGATTTTTAAACGGGTACATAGGGGATGGAGCCGGAGGCGGTATTTCTCTTTGGGACGTTGCACATGTTTACTGTTTGTTAGCAATACAGCTATCTCGCAGTAGTCAATAAATGATAAATGAAAAATGGGAGAATGAAACGGAATATAACTGTATGTTTTTCATGCCATTATTCACTCTTTTGAAACTAGCTTGTTCCATTTATATGCCCATAATGTGATATGCGTCGGTTTTTGTCTCTTAGTCGTTAAGAACGCGTCTCGTTATTCTCAAAAATAAAAAAAAATGTTGCGACTCCAGATGCTGGCGATTTGGCAGCAGACTGCTTAGAGCTTTTTTCGACAAAGATATATACAGCCCAGCGTTCAGTAAAGCAGGGGTAAACTGAACCTTCAATCGCCTAGTAAAACCAAAAAGCCTAAAACTGCTGGGACTGGTTCTAAAACGTCCTGTAAAGGATATCATGGAAAGGTATAAAACCAAACGGAAAGCAGACCAGCGAGCGTCACAGTATGAGAAACACAAACATAAACCACATATACAGCTAAAAAATACACAAAATCATCGCGTAGCTGATGTATTTCCGACAGCAGTTACGTTGTTGTCCGAAAATAATTAGAGAAGATTTGAGTTGAATTTCACATGTAAAGGATACACAACTAATGTTAATGTGATCTACAGAGTTGTGGCCATTGACCAGAGAGGATATAGTGAATCTAGCAAACCAGAAGGGGTAGATAACTACTCACTGGACAAGCTGACATCTGATGTGGATGAGGTTATCCAAGCTCTAGGTGAGTTAACTCTTGCAAGTCCAGACAGTTGCACTTCAACACATTCTCTCCCGAAGATCGTAAAATGTAAAGTAATAAACTTTTAGATTCCATGGGTTAAAATACACACTTAGAAGCAGATCTATTTAAAGAAACAACTGGGGTACAGTAAATTTTGGGGAAAATTATGAATAATTTCAGACATACTCACTGAAAAGCATTTCAGATCAGAAATTATGAACAGTTGACTGTTACTATGGATGTTTTAGTAACTATTCAACAATATCGATTGCCTACCACAGTGATTCTCAAACTGTGCCCCGCGGCGCCCCGGGGAGCCGTGACCTCTTCACAGAGGTGCCGCGAAATATTGTGAAAGCTTCATAAATATTTTAACTAAGACACAAATAATCATACTTTTTCTTAGGCTAGGGCGCCGTGGACAAGTTTTAATTTAAAAAAAAAGAGCCGTGACCAAGAACAGTTTGAGAAACACTGGCCTACCAACTTGGCGATCATGGTTTAATATCTCTTGTGTTTGTGTGTGTGTGTGTGTGTATGTGTGTGTGTATGTGTGTGTGTGTGTGTGTGTGTGTGTGTGTGTGTGTGTGTGTGTGACGAGTGCTCATATGATGACGAAGTATAAATGAGCACCAGAACATTTTTTTGAAAGTAAAGGCGAACAGTACAATATTACTCGTATTTTTGATAGGTTATTCAGCCCTCAGTGGATGATGTTAACATCCTGTCTTTACTTCATAGGACATTTCCTGGTACTCATGTTAAACTAAGTCGACCAGGAAGGATAAGGTATTAGACATTTAGTCTTGTTACTTCCTAGAACCTTGAGGTCAGCAGAACAAGCATCTAGCCACTACCGTTCCCGTTTATTATGTGTTTGAATTCCTCATGTAAGGGTGGGGTGGGGTGGGGTGGGGTGGAGGAATACACCCACTCTTCCCCCACCCCCACCCCCTCCCCAACAGGCATGTCTGAAACGGCGACTAATTGCGAGTGTTTTCGTCAAAGTTAAGTTCATCTGCCTGCCAGGAGAAGAACCAACAGTCTATATAGAAAAAAGACAGATGTGTAAAACGGATGTACACGCACAATTATAGTTCTGGGACAAAGGTCCCAAAATGGACGAACAACCAGGGCTTTCCGATGGAGGTTACAGCCGGTGTACGCTACGAAAAAAAAAAAAAATAAGATAAATTTGAATGATGTGATAAGATTCTGTGTCGCTGTTTTCATGTCTTTATTGTTAACTTGCAGGCTACAAAAGCTGTGTGTTAGTTGCACACGACTGGGGTGGAGTTGTGGCATGGGATTTTGGCCTACGCTATCCAGATCGAGTAGACAAGCTGATTGTCATGAATGGTCCCCCATTTCCTGTATTCAAAAACATTCTGGAAACTAATGAAGAGCAAGCCAAAAAGTCTAGGTAAATCTGAAATACTAGTCGAAGTAAAGATTTAGGTGCTTTATTAATATCCTACCCCAAATGACGTCACATGACAGTCCACAATTTTAGAGGGGGATAAGACTGGGTTTCCCGGCTTTATGATGCTTTTAACGACCCCAAAACATCTGGAACTGGCCCTAACCCCAACCCACCTACGTCCCACGAAAGAGTGCAGCCTAGGTCCCACGACTGCATGCAACCTATCTACCGCCCCCTGAAATATTGGGCTGTCCCGTGACCTTAGGATTTCCCCTGTTTGTGGTAGGATATTAATAAAGCACCAAGATTTGTATCGATGAATTTGTTTATTTTCTTCATTAGAGCTGTTTTATATGACTTCAAATTTCTGCTAAATAAATTGCTCTTTCATTTCCCTAATGCTGCAGTGGCCTCAGCGCCTGAGTACAAGCCCACTGATTTACATGCTTTTTTGTGTGTATACATCTTCCCCATCTTCCTTTCTCTAAGAATTCCCTCAATTTCTACATCTCCGTAAACTGTGTAAGGAGAACGACGATCTCTGCGATAGGGCCCTTGAAGTGTGGAATTTATTCCAGCTTGGAACACTCTGAACACATCACCGCTTTCTGTATATCAGTGGTACTGAGGCTCTTACCTCCAAGCTTAAACATCACCACAACAGACCTGTCTCATTCACCTTCCAACCCACAACTGTGCTAAAACATTCTCTTGGGGCATCTCTTCATGCAATGGGCTGACACTGCCACTAGCACCATTTTCTCTGAACTTCCTATTGTGGCCTACATACCTTATTATAACCTTAAGGATATTGTAGTCAGGAGTCGGTTGTGTCTCACCTCTTAAGTCCGACTTAGGCACGGTTTCTTACCGTATACATACTTGCAAGTCTCGTCCTTGTATGGTTAAAGCAGACAGTCTGACCTTCTCTTAAGCCATTGTAAACTGAGTGCTTCTATTGCATAAGCAGTATTGTCATTACCGCCTGCGAAAGATCTATGAAGTAAATTGATGAAACAGGTGGACAGGTTCAGGCAATATCTTTCCGATATGCAGAACATTGCCATCAAGCCTATGCCTGTGTACTCGTATTTTAATTCACAGGGTCACTAAGGGGCTTTGGACATGGAGGTTACGGCTATCAAGTCTAACCATTCCAATAAAACAGCTCAACAGTCTCTTGAGAACCAATCTAACTGACTTGTTTGAGGACCTTAATGTCCAGCACAGCGTTAAAAATCTTGCAGTTATTACCCTTGTTGTAACCTGCCAATCCTACCTTTTTTCATGTCCTTCTTCTTCCATTGATCTTGACTTATGGTTTCTACACTTCAGACGTGTCTGAGATATTTCAGCGAAGAGATTTCAAATTACAAATAAGTTGTGTATTCCCGATTGTAATCGTTTCATTATCTGTTTGTGTTATATGCCGATGAAGGCTTTCTGGTCGCAAAGTTCATTTGTTGTTTCTGATCGTGATAATGAATTTAGTTCTACTTCTGCTTTGGTTTAATTGTAAATTTTCATATTATGTTTGGTGGTGTTTTATTGGTTACTTTGGTCATAATTTTGAGGTTTAAAGTCAAAAATAGCTGACAAAACTGCACCGGGCTTTATCCTATATCGCTTGACATGTCTCAGCACAATAGCTAGCCTATTGTTGAGAGCGTCGTACAAAACACGAACTCTGTAGCTGCAGCGACGACTCTGGACAACTGCGCAAACATTGCACTGGCCATCAGAAACAAGCAGTCCTTGAAATGAATCCACGATCTTCAAATTTCGAGGCAAAAGACTTTACTACTTAGCAGTACTTACCCCCCCCCCCCCGCCCTCTTTCCTTTAATACATACATTTATTTACCTGTTGAGACAGTGGCTCGGTATTCATTACAAGAAATGCAGTTAAAATCGACCAGTACGACTCTAGGATCAACCCAGGCTAATTTAAATGAGTGCCAGACGATGTCCAGTAACACATTACTATCTCACCCACACTGGACTGCAAGTTACTTTATAACCGTGTTGTGTTGCCTAAATATAAGAGTGCTATATATACAATTGAACGGCGTTTCAGGGATTTATAGCTGTGTGATTCTCATCCTTTAAATAGCATTAGAATGTTCTGAGAATTGTCTTGAAAGGAAGAGAACCTGCCATCTCATCCCCTTTATAGTGATCTCCCCGTGCGCGTTCTGGTGCCCAGTTGTGGGAAAAACAATAAAAGACAGACTGCCTCCCTAACAAGCATGTCGTAGGAGTCGACTTATTGGGAGGTTCCTTCGAAGTCGGAGTGCATCTACCTGAATGGCAAGGAACAATCATTTTTCACACAAATAAGCCAGTAAAACGGATGTACACGCAAAATTAGGCCCTGGCACAAAGCCATATTTCAAAAGGACGAACAACAAGGACTTTCCGCTGGAGCTTAAAGTGGTGAACAAAGAAGAAGAAGAAGAAGAAGAAGAAGAAGAAGAAGAAGAAGAAGAAGAAGAAGAAGAAGAAGAAGAAGAAGAAGAAGAAGAAGAAGAAGAAGAAGAAGAAGAAGAAGAAGAAGAAGAAGAAGAAGAAGAAGAAGAAGAAGAAGAAGAAGAAGAAGAAGAAGAGCGTTCAACTTGCAATATACACATTTTGTTATCCACTATAAGCTTGTGAAACATGGCTTCAAATGTGACTTCTCAAGTAGAACACAAAATTGAAATGTGTTCATTGTTCAGTAACGGTCACTGTCAAATTCTACTATGCTGCATATATATCATACAAGTAAACTTTTTCTAGCTTGTATCTTAGTTCCAACTACAACATACATGGTATTACAAACAATACATTTCGTTTAAAGTCGTTACAATCTCCAAACCTTTCAGTACCAACCCCCCCCCCCCCCCCCCCCCCCCCCCCCCAAAAAAAAAAAAAAAAAAAAAAAAAAAAAACTCGCTGCATGTTTGTTGATCATTCCAAATGATGCTCTATCACAAACATATGTTATATTAACCCTTCGTATTCGAATTATTATTATATCTTATTCTGTCCCATAGTGTCTCTGTTCAGCAACTTCAGATTTTAGTATTTACTAGTTTTAAGTTCAACTTCATAGGTTACAATGAGTTAAAGAAACGTCAGAACACCGAAAGAGTTAAAATTATAATTGCCAAGACATCAGTCATTCGGACAACAATTAATCTGTTCTTGGAACTTTTTACAATTACCTTGTTTATCCACGTGTTGAAACGCAATTAACTAATAGGCTGCAGTGCACCGTCATAAAGAAATTAATTGGGATTTGGAGGGCCGGGGGAAGGGGGCTCCCAGCGCTCCTCTTAATTGTCTAGGGACAGGAGCCTGGGGGGGGGGGGGGGGGGGGTTCATTTTTTAGTTTAAGTGCACGATAAAGTAAAGACCCTGTTTTTCATGCCATTTAATGTCTGTGGCTTAGGCGTTGCGAGCACGCTTGGTAATAACGTCGGGGTGCCGTGTTCCATCTTAGCCGCAGGCTATTTGTCAGCAGACTGTCTTGCTTTGGTTTCGACAGTGGTATCGGGGTTAGATCGTTCAGACAGCAGTAGCAAACTAGTAAACCTTAAATTTGCCACAAAAACCAAACAACTAAAAAATAAATGCTTGGGTTGGTTCTGCAACGTCCTGTAAAGAATATGCGCAACCAACATTGAACTCACTACAAAACATTCAAATAAAAAGGTCCCGGTACTCATCACATAGAGTTTATTACAGCGGCCCTGACAATATATGCATACAATAACTAAAAAGGGTGCGGTACTGCGTACGTTGCGTGCTACCATAAAAAAGACTGGATTATAATAGTTATTTTTATATTTATATATTATTAATATTATTATTATTATTATTATTACAGTGCTCTGAATTGCAGACACATTTAATGACAAATCTGAAATTATATAAATATATATATATATATATATACCTATAATACGTCTATACATCTCTCTATATCCCCTGCATGTCGCTGTTGACACATAAGGCATTCGCAAATGATCTCCATTGCTGCCGGTCTGCTGCTTTTCTGCCCATGGTATCCCATGTCAGTTTACATTCCTTGGTTTCCCGTTCTATTGTCCTTCTCCAGGTTGCCTTAGGTGGTCCACGTCTCCTTTTCCCATCTGCTGATCACCGAAGAGCTGTTTTTACCAGAGTGTCACAATGCATTATGCAAACATGTCCAAGCCATCTCAATCGTCTTACTTTGATAACATTTGCCAGTGATGCACATTCTGTTTTCCTCCTCACTTCTTCATTTGTGATCTTGTTTAGCCAAAATATTCGTCGAATTCTCCTTCAACATTTATTTTGAAAAGTCTCAAGTTTATGCGTAATTCCCGCTGTCATTTTTCAAAATTCACTGTTGTATAATAGTATTCCCAAAATGTTGCTCTTGTATATTCCAAGTTTTGTCTTCAAACTAAAACCCTTTGACTTCTATATATTGTTAAGCATGGCAAATGCTTGATTTGCTTTGTTTATTCTTAATGTTACATCCTTTTTCAGAATCTCCATCTGGAGTAACTTTACTTCCGAGGTATATACATTCTTCAACTTCCTTCCTCTATTGCTTCATCATTTAAAATAATTGGATTTTCTGTTTTGTATTTATTTCTCATTACTTTAGTTTTACTGGTGTTTATTTTGAGTCCTGTCTTAAGGGTTGTTGTTGAAAGTCTTTCACTCTTTTCCTGAGCATCCTCATGACGGCTTGATATAAGGCAGATGTTATCTGCATAGTCCAAATCCTGTAAAAGAGAGGGTGAGTGACCACCGGATGCCTCGTTTTCTAACTCGTGTAACTTCCTTCATCAGCCAGTCAATGGCCAAATTGAACAAAAAGGGGGATAGTATGCATCCCTGTCTGACTCCTGTGTTGACAAAGAAACTTTCTGTTGTATGGTTATTACAAACTACCTATACATTGTTAGGGGAAACTGCCTAGCCCGATTGCACGTTTTATGGCTGGGGGAGGAGACAGGGCTCAGCACCCCGCCCCCCCCCTCCCCGCCCACTTTTTTTACACTTAAAAAAAATTACTAGCTGTTATTTTTGTTGTTGCAGGTACGTGTTCTTTTTCCAACTGCCGTACCTTCCTGAGCTCACGATTAGCCTGGACGATTTTGCAGTCTTCAACACTTTACTGCCTACAAAATATCGAAAAGAAACATCTGAGAATAAAGATGAGGCGATTCAAGAACACGTCGCTCCTTATAAATATACATTTTCACAGCCAGGTATGCTGTGTGTTTCATATTGTATGTTTATATTTTCAAACACCTCTTCACACAGGCACGCACAAACAGTCACATTTTGTCACTCACGTAAGGTGTATACTTTATTTGGAATGCTAATATTTGTTTCGCTCACACACAAACACACACAGACATGCTCACACTTACACAGATACATACATACACACGGGTTTTTTTTAAATATATTTTCACAAATAGGTAATTTTCACACACACACACACACACACACACACACACACACACACACCCACATTGGTTCTGGTGTCATTTCCACACATTTTACATACAAGTGCACAGGAAACACACACTACCACTCAGTGACTTCCACATACACATTTCCGCAGCCTAGTAAGTTATACATTGAATTTCATTTGCTGTAATTATATGCACTCTCCAACACATGTATTAGGTACCTGTTTCTCCCTTCTACTTTCTCTCTGTCTCACACTCTCTCCCTCTCTCTTTATCTCTGCCCTTCCCTTTTTCCTTCCATCCCACACTCGCTCCATCATGTACAGTCTAGTGTAGTGTATATTGAGAGAGAGAGCATAAATAAATAATAAATACCGACTTGTGTCTCTGTATCGTCAGTTCAACAGAGAATCAGAATATGAAGCTCATAAACAATATACGAAAACACATGGAAAAAGGAGAGTGAAGTTAGAAAAATATGGGGAAGACACGGGGTGAGCTACATGCAATAGCTAAGGATAGAACAACTTGGCGTGAGTTGGTTGAGGGCCTATGCTCCACTGGAGGTTAGAAGGTAGAAGAAGAATAAAAGAGTGAGAGGCCTACTTTAGTACTGATTGATTTACCAATTTCACAATCGACAAGATAGCACACCGGGCATACTCGCAGATGCTCCGTCTCCCGCAGCAAATATCTTAAGGTGTAGATGCTAACAGTTCCGGCAGAAGCATATTGATTATACACACGTCGTTGTCTTCCTCTCAAACATCCCTACTTGCCGGACTCACGCCTAGTTCATGGTTCACACATTCTTACACATGTAATTTTATCTCAGCTCTTGTCTTGTATCAGCATTCGTTCAAAAATGGTCTTCGGAATGTTTCATTTGTCCAGTACAAGTGTTACCGTAGCTATCACCTTTGTAGTTAGAAATTCTGCTCTTCCATTCCCTCGCCATTCCTGCATATCCCGGAAAGTATATCCATGTACTTCTATAGTGTAGGAAGACATTATATAACTTATATATACTAAGTGAGCAAAGGTGGTGCAGTGACTAGACGCTTGCCAGTGAGCTTGAAGGTCTTGGTTTCAAATCCGTAGTGACGGATTTTTTTTCTTGTATTAATAACTTACCATGAGTCCAAAGTTTACCCAGGTAACAAGAAATGTCCGGGTAAGTAAAGACAGCCGGCGTTGTATTGAACAAACCATCTATCGAGTACCGATTAGTATGTAGAAACACAGCTATATCACCGGCGTCAAAGAGATCTTTTACTTTTACATTCTTTACTTTAATACTGAGTAAGCAAACAGACCTCACAGGCAGACAATTGGTCAATCAGTTAGCAGGTCCTTTACAGAACGTCGCTCTCATCACGACACTCCTATCTTTTTCTAGCGAATTCTCCACCCTTGTGTGCTTTCATATCCACTGCACCTTAAATATCATGCATCTACCTTGGCAAAGGTCTGCCTACCCCTTGTTTTCCACAAACTGTACCCTTGACCACCGTTCTCCCTAGGCTATCACGATTTTTAACATGGCCAAAATACCACAGTTTTCGTGACAGGATGCTGTTTATGAGCCAGTTCTTCTCGATGCTAAGATCATGTAAGATTTTGGCGTCTTTCTTTTTTTGTGGTCCATTGTGTTCTAATAATATTTATATAGCACTTCAGTTCAAAATCTTTGATTTTTTTGTTCAATGATTGAGTAAGTCCATGACTCACATCCATAAATTACCACAGGAATGATGCATGGTCTTAAAATTTGTTACTTTGACACGACTGCAGGTGCATTTTCTTTATTCTGATTCTTCAGGCTGTTTAGACTCAGGCTGACACTGAATAGAAAAATGAAAAATATACAGCTCGAAACTCTAAGGGACTGAGCACCCAGAAAAGGTGGTTAATGGCTAATAGTTCTCAGTAATGTTTGATGCTGTTATTAAAATTAACTAATTAGGTAATGTAATCATATACTTATAATTACAACATAAACAGTAAACACACACAAATCACAGTAATGTAATAAACAACTTAAAAGAAAAATGTACATTTATTGAGTAATATCATAATTCAAAATTGACTCTCTGAATTAAAATGTAAATAATTTTCAATAAAATAATTATCGTGGAGCTGAAGGTTAATTAATTTTATCTTTAACTAGATAATTTATAAGTTCAAAGTGTTTAAGTTGGACTGACATTAAGTCACTAAATACCCATGGCAGTTGTACAGATCCTTGTGTCAGTTATTCACACACACACACTCGCACACACACACACACACACACACACATGTATACACTTCCCTGTGTCAGTGTCTTACATATTTGTGGTCATTCAGCATGATTCTTCCCTTGTCTCACTCTCTCCCTCTCCCGATATATACTTATATAAATATGTAGTTATGTGTGCTGCACCAGCAAGCAAGCGGGTTGCAGGTAATGAGTGTATGTATGTGTGTGTGTTTGTTTGTTTGTTTTTTTAACTACTGCGCGTTTGAGTATGCGTGCTGAATTTTAGTAATACAGTGAGATAGTATTTTGGCTACGGGACACCAGTAGCACACATATATCTTCGTGTAGGGAGTCGGCAGTCCGAAACCCAAGTTCAAGGTGTCTCCTTCGTGCCAAAGAACTGCATGGCTGTTGGGTGAACAGTCGTTAACGAAGGCAGTCAGGTCGTTGTTGGGGCGACGCTTGCTGGTGGATGTAATGTCCTAAATCCCTTCCCCAGCTAATAGTAGGGTACAGCTGGGGTGACAGTTTATTAACCCTCACATAATGCTTCAGGTCCAAACGAACACTAGACACTGTCACTGTTTTGGGCTAGGGCAAAAATTTTTGCTTCTGCCAGACTAGCTGTTGCTTTTTTCTCCATTTGTAGACTGGAAATATATAATTTCGTTACCCAGCTTCTGAGTTGAGTGCATGGAGTGACACTGTGAGCTGCGGATTTCATTTGGAATGTTTTTCGACTGACCAACGTGGTGGTGTGATTTGTAGATTCAGAAAATGGCGCGACGCCGGTTGTCGCAATATTGGTGGGGCCATTATTTGATTAAAATTGATCGCGTGTGCAACTGCTGATCTTTTGGTGACTTCTGCTACCATCAATGATGAACTGCATTTCTAACGTCAGACTGTTTGTGTTAGCACTTCGGATGGCTACTATATGCTTTTAATGCGAGTGTATGCTAGATTTGCTGAGACAGCAGTTTGTCAGTCTTTCCACAAGGGACTGTGATAAACATTCTGTGTGTTTTTCGTTGGCACAGGAGCGGAGCAAAGATGGGGTGACCCGTTTGCTATGAAGCTGAAATTAAAATTACCAGATTACCAGATGTATACACTTACTTAACCCACCCACGCCCACCCACCTATATTCGCTCTCTCTCGCTCTATCTCTCTCTCTCTCTCTCTCTCTCTCTCTCTCTCTCTCTCTCTCTCTCTCTCTCTCTCTCTCTCTCTCTCTCTCTGAAACGGGACCGTCTTGGTGTTCGCTGGATCTTCAAAAGCTTATTTTAATATGAAGTTGCTAGAGAAAACGCCAAGCAGACGTTTTATAAAGGAGTGGGTTTTTCTTTTAACAGGAATTTATTAATCATCTGCCATGTAAATATATACTATTTAGATCACAAGTCGTTCAGAAATTACTACCAGAATTCCCCATTTATGAATCGGGGCCCCATTTTTGAGACAAAAGAATAGACCCACAGCGCCCCCTAGCAATCATGTCGTAAGAGGCGGCTAATTAGGAGTGTTAACTTCGAAGTCTGCATTTCCCTAAGCGACATGGAACCAACAGTCTGCACGTAAATAAGCCAGGTTTTTAAATTGGATCTTTAAACTATGTTTGTACTAGAGTCAATATTTCACAACTCACAGCCAAGTATTATTCATCTTGTTGGGGAATGTTTGTATCAGAGTCAATATTTCACGGCCGAACATTACTCATCTTGTTGGGGAATGTTTGTATCAGAGTCAATATTTCACGGCCGAACATTACTCATCTTGTTGGGGAATGTTTGTATCATAGTCAATATTTCATCACTCACAGCCAAGCTTTACTCATCCTCTTGGGGAATGTTTGTATCAGAGTCAATATTTTACAACTCACGGCCAAGCACTACTCATCTTGTTAGGGAATGTTTGTTTCAGAGTCAATATTTCACAACTTACAGCCCAACATTACTCATCTTGTTTGGGAATGTTTGTATCATAGTCAGTATTTCACAACTCACAGCCAAGCATAACTCAACTTGTAAGAGAATTTTCGTCTAAGAGACATTATTCACAACTTGTAGACAGGCATTGGTCATCTTATTAGAAACTGTTTCATAATGTTGCGCCAGACATCATCACTGTTAATAAAGAATCTTTATATTAGCGCCCATGTTTCATAACTCATAGTCAGACATTCGTCATCTTGTAAGATTAAAGGTTAGTGGTGAGTGATGGGATGACTAGCACCATAGCATTCCAGACAGATCCATCATTGCTGTGGTCTCCTTCAAAATAGCCCCATAAGCATTAAAAGACAGACCATACCCATTTTGAAGTGATTATCAGACATCCTCTACCCCTGGACGTGTTCATGTATGACTACTGCATGTTGTGCTCCCAAATCTATTAGTCTGAGTCCTGTTTGTTGTCACATTTATCTTAGCGATATGCATCTCGCATGGCACTAGTGATAACACTCCTACCCAGTGCCGCTCAGTCGTAGTGACCGCCTTGTACACTATAGTCTGCACGCTAACTGTCTCGAACACCCACATCGCTGGGCACAAAGAGTAAGGTTAGGTAAGTTATTTGCGATGTGTGTAGTGAGAGAATTCAGCTTTGTTTGTGGATTTTCTTGAGAATCTTCCTAGAGATTGTTTATATAAGAATCAATATATCACAACTCAGAGCCAAGAACTTGTTATCATGTTAAAGGATGTTTAGATGCCATGTTTCACAACTGGTCGCCAGACATTATCCATCTTTTTAGAGAACGTTTATGAAGACATACAGAGATTGTTTCTTTGCTTGCCAGGTGCTCTGACACCACCATTGAACTATTACCGGCATCTGATGACAAAAGGCTATGCCAGTGCCGCTGAACGCGATCTCAAGTACCTTATGCCAGCACTTTTGATCTGGGGGAGTCAAGACAAGGCTTTAGATATTGCCATACCCAATACCATTGAGAAAGAAGTACCAACAGTTGAAGTCAAGAAAATTCCAAATGGTAACCATTTTGTGCAAACTGATGCCCCTGATGAAGTCAACAACGCCATGAGGGAATGGCTGAATGAGCACTGAGATATTTAGGAACAAGATACTAGTTCCAAAATGTTTTTTTTTTTTTTTAACACTTCATTACAATGTTAAGGTATATTGTTAAATTGTAGTATCGCTTGATTCTTCTGAGTGTTAATGGCCTGATAACAAAACCAGCAACACAGCAAAGAATTAATCGCATCTTTGTCCCTACTTTATGTTATCAGTGCCAAACATAGACAATGATTAGAGCACTAGAACAGAAAATAACTACGTGTGAAAAACTCTGACTACGCAAAATCACTAATACCACAGGAAGGGACAAGGTAACAAATACCACCATTATAGAGAAAATTGGAACAAGACCATGTCTAGGTTGTACTGATAGACAAAGTATGAAATGGTTCGGCCATCTAGTGAGAATACAGCCAGGCCAAATTGGATATGGAATTTTTTACAGCAGAAAATCTGGAAGGAAGGCGAAGGGAAGACCAAGAAAGAGATGGATAAATGGTGTAGCTGAAACCAGCAAAAGATGAACAAATCCATCACCTAAGTCACCCGAGAAGCGAAAGACAAATGCAGAAAAAAAAAATAATTTAAAAAACCCGACACTGGACCGGGTGTCAGTGAAAAAAAAAAAAAAAGAATGACTAAATTATTTTTTTTTTTTTACACTCTATAAAGAGTTTATAGAGATTTTGCCAGATGGATTAATAATAGTCAGAGGCGTGGAATGTCTGTTTTCGAATCTGTAAGCAATCCTGGTGTAACAACCTCCCAACCAAATCTAGCTGTTACAGCAAATAGGTTTCTGTATTATTTCTAGCACTAAATGATTTTATTGTTCGTAAGTCTTCAATGCAGAGACTAAATAGCATTAAGAACCTACGGCTCGGCACCTGCAAGCCAGTTAAAGTAAATTATTTAAGGTCATGCATCTTTCTTGTAGCAACTTATGAATGTGAGTCATGGACTCTTTCTAACTTTTTAAGGGGGAAAAAAAAAAAGCTTTGAAAATGAAATGCTACAGAAAGATTTTTAGAATACCATTGAAGAAGAAAAAAAAAAAAAAAAAACACCGACATACTAAATGATCTGAACAGGAGAATTAGCTCATAAACAGCATCTTGTCCCGAAAGCTGGGGTTTTTTGGCCATGTTATACGCCATGGTGGTCTGGAGAGAACGGTGATAGAGGATACAGTTTTCGGAAAACGAGGCAGAGGCAAACTTTCGCGATACAAGACAATAAGGATGCACTGGTTATGAGAGCAAACAGAACAGGGAGATTGGCTAAAGAACGAGAGACTTTCCGGCGTGCGGTGATGAGAGCGGTGTTCTGTAACGGGCCTGATGATTGTTGGTGAAGTCTTCAATCATCCAATTCCACACAGTAACTGATAATGGCGATTCCGCAGATTAATGATTGACAACAGTCACTGACGTGTCGTCATTCACGAAACTGTCAGCAATCCTTTGATTAACCTCTATATAAGTCCCCACCAGCTTCAGCTGCTGTAGTCTGTGTAATTTCTATAGCAAATTTTTGTTTCCGTCGGTACGTTTTCAGTGCCACAGCTATGACAACTGACAACTATCGGTACTAGAACTCTGTACTGGCTGTTGACGATGAGGACGGAGTACACATGGGAATGCCCCGAGTGCTTTGATTTCAATTCTTGACTCAACTCAGCTCAGTGCCACAACTGATAATGACTTTTCGCCATCCCTAAAATATTGTACACAATACTAAAACAACCCTCCGGCGTTTCAGAATAGGCCATCGACGTGCTGTTTTATACAGAGAGTTGACATTTGTATTGTCTGGTGCAGGCTGCTTTCATCGCTTTACATAGGCAGACTTCAATGACTGCAATCGTACATTATTCGATTTTTTTTTTTTTCAAAGTGTTATAAATATTCACAATAGCGATCGCTTGAAACATTTAATTTGTAGTAGGATCGCACATTAAATCTGCACTCTATTAAATAAATCTATACATTTATTTAAATATGTTTACATGAACGAATTACTTATACTGTTTATATCAATGCCATCAAGCTGTGAACACGGTTAAAAGGGGTTTGTCGTGAGTTTATTTTAGGGAAAGTGCTTTGTTGCAAGAAGAAAAAGTAGAAGGAGGAAGAAGGAAGTAAGGATGGAAGGAAAGAAAGAGAAGAAAAGGAAAAGAAAAAGGAAAAGAAAAAGAATAAGAAAGAAGAAGAAGAAGAAGAAGAAGAAGAAGAAGAAGAAGAAGAAGAAGAAGAAGAAGAAGAAGAAGAAGAAGAAGAAGAAGAAGAAGAAGAAGAAGAAGAAGAAGAAGAAGAAGAAGAAGACGAAGACGAAGACGAAGAAAAGAATAATAATAATAATAATAATAAGAAGAAGAAGAAGAAGAAGAAGAAGAAGAAGAAGAAGAAGAAGAAGAAGAAGAAGAAGAAGAAGAAGAAGAAGAAGAAGAAGAAGAAGAAGAAGAAGAAGAAGAAGAAGAAGAAGAAGAAGAAGAAGAAGAAGAAGAAGAAGAAGAAGAAGAAGAAGAAGAAGAAGAAGAAGAAGAAGAAGAAGAAGAAGAAGAAGAAGAAGAAGAAGAAGAAGAAGAAGAAGAAGAAGAAGAAGAAGAAGAAGAAGAAGACGAAGACGAAGAAGAAGAAGAAGAAGAAGAAGAAGAAGAAGAAGAAGAAGAAGAAGAAGAAGAAGAAGAAGAAGAAGAAGAAGAAGAAGAAGAAGAAGAAGAAGAAGAAGAAGAAGAAGAAGAAGAAGAAGAAGAAGAAGAAGAAGAAGAAGAAGAAGAAGAAGAAGAAGAAGAAGAAGAAGAAGAAGAAGATGATGATGATGATAAAAGTGAAAAAGAAGAAAGAAGAAACGAACATTAATCTACATTTGTAACCTTTATACACTGTTATAGTCTTTGGTATTTATCTGACTCAGATAATTAACATTTTTATTTTTATTTTTGTGTTTCAAGATAATCCATATATGTTGTCCTTAACCTTAGTTTTATATGAGGTTAGAATCCAGACGTTTGAATCAGTGTTCATGATATTTCTTTGTTTGGTAAATATTATTTAGGTTGCCATGTGATTTTGCATTGTTTATTGTAAATTATGTATATCAAATTGTGAGCTGTTTTAATTACTCTACATAAGGGTTTTCATTAAGATAGGTTTAATAAATAAATAAATACTAGTATTACATTACGTCTTACATCGTTCTGTATTCGTGTGGGTTCCGGGACCCCATTGTAGGGAAAATAAGAACAGACCTACTGCCTCCCCAAGAAGCATGTCGTAGGAGTCGACTAGCTGGGGGCTTCCTTCTAAGACGGAATGCATCTGCCTGAGAGGACAGGAACCAACAATCTGCATACACATAAGTCAGATCTATAGTGCGCCTAAAGCTTTGAATTGTACTTCATAATGTCTTCTGCTCTTTACTTACCTCTTTAATTTTTATGGATGCTGGTCAATTCATGTGAAGCTATTTCTCTCTCTCTCTCTCTCTCTCTCTCTCTCTCTCTCTCTCTTTAAAAGTATCCTGAAACCATGAGTTGCCAACCCTTTGGCTCGGTACTATGGATATTTCAACCCTTCGTCCTTGATTCCGTAATAGGTACCGTAAATCTGGGAGAAATGTGGCTTTTCTGTCTACCCCTGGGCTTGAACCAGGACCACAAGGAGTTCGTCACCCGGTCACCGCGCAGTCCGGTTTAACTAACTACGCGAGCCAGCCGGGTGAAGCTATTTCTCAAGGTATTGTGGTCAACTGAGTGACAACAGTTTTTTTATTTTTTCTTTACTTAGAAAATACGACGGAAAAGTGAGTTAGTTGTTGACTTCAACTTACTGGAGGCTAACTACATATTGATACTTAACCGAGGGGCTGCGTGGTCTCGAGTCATGGTGTCCGCCTCGAATGCTAAAGGTTCCGGGTTCAATCCCCGGTAAAAAAAAATAATATTAAAGATCCCTTTTCACGCCTTTAGACGCATCGCGTATATGGGAAGAGTGCCCAAATTTTTTCAGACCATCGGCACTAGGTGGGTAATGGGGTCAGCATTACGCCCGCCGTCTCTACTTCCCCAGTACAGTTCTCCTGGTACCCATTTTAGGCTGAGTCGACCTGCAACCTGCGACGCCCTATACCACAATCCCCGGTAAGGGTTAGGATTTTTTTTTTCACGTAGACTTGGACTTCTAGTAATCCCCCCTGCTCTCTGAGTATTGAGATCGAACGCCCGTGTGCATTGTTGAGCACCTTAAAAGAAAAATCAATTGGCAGTTGAAAATCGAAAAGAGTAGCCCTATGGCGCTGCCCGGGCAAAAATGTGGAGTTGAAAATCTACCCAAATCTGTTCAATGTGCTGAGCTTCTTCGGACTCAGACTTGAGTAAGAAGTAAGAACTGAGCACTTATGGGTTACTACCCGTGTGCCATAATGTTGATCCGTCAAACCTCAAACCTGATACTTAAACGTCACACTCCTACAACAATATATAGGTTAATGCCTTAACTTTTCATTTCCACCACTGTATCCGCTTTTGGGATTAGCAACCTGTTGTCGGTTATGTTCCGGTCCACTGAATTTTCTTACCCGGAAGTGTTCTGTGTCACATGTAAACTTCGACAATAAACTAGTATAACATCTCCCCACCCCAACTTTTTTTTCCCAGCGAGGCGGCACACACCATGGCAACTGTTGGCAGTCGTGAGTTTAAACACATGTTAGTAGAATACAGTCCACTAACTCCCCCCAGTACAGGACACTGGCTTTTTTTTTTTAATTTATAAACCCCAACCTGGCTGATGTCGGGGGTCATAATATAACCCAACGGTTGAATGGGGTTTCTGGAACTTGTGCAGGTGATTCTCATCTGAATGGCGGCACTTTGCGTCACAGGGTGTTTACCGCTGGTTGTGGGGATCTGGTGGCGTTGAACCACTCACAATACAATCCACCAAGCCACAAAACAGCCATAAATAAACATAAGGGGAACTCTTGAGACCCTAGAATTATAGTGTGTTATTCTATCTTCCTACGTC